GGCCCGCCCGCGCGGAGCGCCCACGCCCGGGAGTGCACGAGTGCAGCGCGGCTCCACCTCTGCGTTTTCTGAGGACCAGGGACTAGAGGCTTCTTGGTTACCTCGTTGAGGACTTGGGGATAGCGCTACCTCATCTGTAAAATGGGTCTTCTCTCCTGTCTGGTGGTCGCAAAGGTCACTTCGCAAGGGCGTCATGAGCCAGCGAAGGCGCTGCTGGCTTGAAACAGCTGTGCAAACCTCAGAATCACGGTCTTGAATAGGACGGTCACCGCCCCCCGCAGCCCCTGGGCAAGGTGCCCCTGGTCTGTAGGGCGTGAAATTTCAATTCCCTGCCCTGGGAAGTCCCCTGCCGACCTCTCCCCACGGCCCCACCCGGGGCCCCGCACGTCCACCCGCCGCGCACAGGCCACCACGCATTCCCGCCTGGAGAAGTTTTCGTATGCGCTGTTCTCTCCGTGTAGCCAAATTCCACCGACCTCGAGGAAATGCCACCTTCTCCAGGGGCCTTCCCAGGTCCCCTCCCCTGCCCGCGTTCGCCGGCCGCCCTGTGATTACTGGGGGTGCGGTGGGGGTCACTGGACTCGCTGCCGATCCCAGGAGCCCAGCACGGCGCCGCACGCGGTGGGCCCAAAGCCCGACCGTGGGGACCTCAAACCAGAGGCCCTCAAGGCTCGTTCCACCCGGCCTATGGCGCAGTGCTAGGCACTTGGGAACGAAGGTCCCTGCCTTCTCGCGGGAAGCCCCTCCGTGGTGCGCGCCGTGGGTCTGCGGGTTGGTCTTTTCACTCGTCATTACTATTCTGTAAGTTCACTATTTAAAAACTAATAACGCCAAGCCCGACAAATACGCCTCGGCACTTCCTCCCCTCCCCGCTCTCCCGCGGGCCTCCGTGGCGGGGCGGGGCGGGCGCGTCCTGTCCCGTTCGGCCTCCGGGTGCGACGCGGCGCACGTCCGCCAGGCCCTGCCGAGGGGGAGCCGGGGAGGGGAGGCCCCGCGTGGGGGCCGGGAGGGGAAGGGAGGGGAGCGGCGCCTGCCATTAGGCGCGGCGGCTTCGTGCCCTGAGGCTGGGAGCAGGGGCGGGAGGGGACTGTCGGGGACTGATACCCCGGCCCCCGGGCTGGTTCCCTCGGCCCTCCTCCTGCTTCTGGGTAGCCCACGGGGCGGCCACCATTGCGCTTCACCGTGATCGCCACGCGCTGCTGGCGCTCTCCCAGGCCTGCTCTGGCTGCGCCCCCTAACCTCATTTACCCCTTAGAACGGCCTCCTTATCCCATTTCACAGATGAGGAAACTGAGCTTCAAGAAAGGAAGCGACGTTCCCCGGGTCTACCGGCGAGGGCAAAGGCGGGATTCCAGCCTGGGAGCGGGACATCTGTCTCCCCTGCGGTCCGGCCCCCTGGGTGGGGCCTCAGCTTTATCTCCGGATGCGGGGCCCTCATGACCCCAAAAGGAAGCGTGTGGCGAGGGACCGAGTGGAGTCGTGGCCTCGCCCTTGGCCTGAGTTGGGTGGCGCGCCTTCCTCTCCCTCTGTGAAGGGGGCTGGAACCTGGCCGGCTGTCCCCCCACCCACCATTCCCAGACGGGCCATCCTGAGCTCACGGGATTCCTCAGGAATGCCCCACCTCCTCCACCCCAACCTATCGCCACTTCAAGTCTTTGCCTGTGCGGGTCTTTTCCCAGGGAGACCTAACTCCTCCTCCCATGCTCCCAAGGCAGCAGAGGCAGCCGCGCCTTCTGCCTGGAGCCCTGGACTTCTCTCCCCACGCCTCGGGGCAGGTAGTTACGGAGTGACTCGAGAGGCCAGGATTGCGTGGGGGGAGGGGGTCCTTCGGGTGTCCTCCCTCGGGGGGTTGTCTACACCCAGCTGCTCTCTATCTCTACAGGTGGAGCTCGCTTTATGCACTCTATTTTTTGTCTGTTTTATCGATTCGCACCCCAGGAAAAATAAAATCATGGAGGCCACAAATCAGAAACGGGGAGGGGCAGGAACGGGATTCAGCAAGATGCTGTCTGGCACCTGTGGATTTGGAAGCGTCCCTCCCAACCCAGCCCCTCAGCTTCCCCATCTGCCAAACGGGGCTGGTAAAAGCTCATCCCAGGGGGATGGGGGGAGCGGTGCAGAAAGTCGGGGTGCGCTCAGCAGGCTCCTGGGGAGTGCCGAATGCGACCACGCCCTCCCTGAGAGGCCTAAAGGGAGCTTCCAGGAGAGCAACTCTGCACCCCTCTTCCTGGAGGGTCGATTTGAGCCCGGGCTGGGAGAACCAGAGCTACAATGGGTGGAATGGGGGCAGCTCTAAGTAGACGCCTTCCAGTCTCCAAACTACTGACCTTGGCGCGACCTCATCACTAGCCCTTTGCCCAGGCCCTGGGTAGCCCCTTAGCCGACCCTCCGTGTCTTCTTGACCAACCTGCCCATTCCTCTGCCGTCCCCCCATTCCTGCCCCACAAGATCTAAGACGTCCCCAGAAGGCTTCATGTTTTGGCAGATGTGCACAGACGTGTCCCCATGCTCCTGGCACTCTCATTCCTCCTGGACTGTCCTGTCAGCACTCCCCCCTACCCCTGACCCCCCTTCAGCAAGATTCAGTCCCCTTCCCAGGCCGGCCTCAGGGGCAGCGGCCTTCACCGCATCCTGCCCCAGAGACTTGTTTGCACAGCTGTCTCCCGCCACTGGAGTGTGGGGCCCTTGAGAGCTGACATCTTTAATTAGGAACTTTGCCTCCCTCCCCCACTTGTAACACAGGGCCTGGCACAGGACTGGCACTCAATGCCAAGTGAATTCACGAGAGGGGTGTGTAGGGGGTACAACTGGGGCACTTCCAGGAGGCTAAAGGATCTGGGAGATGCCTTCGCTACACGCCCCCCCATCTATCTTTTTCAGCTGGCATGGACTCATCTCCAGTGCCAACCCTAGAGGAGGCGGGCGGCCCTCTTGCCCAGGTACCCTCTGCAGCACTTGCCCAGGTCGCACAAGCCCGGTCCCATCCCTTTTCTCTTTGAGGGACCCACTCGCATCGTTGCCCTTTTAAGAAAGAGGAAATTCTTCTCATAAACAAGCGTCCGGACCTGAGCGCGGAGCCAGGCCGCCCGCCCTGCTGGGTCCCCGGGAAATCGGGGGTTCTTTCAGGTGCAACACCCGGCCCAGGTTCAACTCTGGGGAAAGGCCCGTTAGTGTCTCCTCGCTGCGGCTCTCCGCAGGTCCTGGGCTGGGGTCCGAGGGACCCGAGGAGGCTGGAAGAGGGACTTGGGGGAGCCTAGAAACAGCCTAGGGAGCGTCTGTAAAGTGCAGCCCCTGAATGGGGCGAAGGGGTGCTCAGTCGCTCCCTAAGGCAGAGGGGACTCCCCGCCCACACAGCTTCCCCCGACCCACTCTCCCCAGAGGATTCTGGGGCCCCAGGGCGCGAGCCCCGAGCGCCAGCCTCCCCCGGTCGTTCCGCCTGGCGGGGAGGGGGCCGGAGGGCCGGCATCGGGACTGTCTCTGCCCCTAGGGGGAGCAGTCAGCGGAGAGGGAGCGCTAACGGCGCGGCGTGGGAGTCGCGGCCGCCGGGTCCCTTAAGGAAACAGCAAATAGCTTGGCCCTCAGAGACACGGGCTCTTGGGTTCCTTATGACCTGGTGCCTGACGGAGAAAGAAGCGCGCCTCCGTTTTACTGTCTGGAAAATGGGTTGCAGGCGGAACAGAAAGGCTGCGGCGAATAGGAGCGGACCAGACCCTGGCGTAGGGGTCTTCTAGATGTTTTAGAGACTCCGTGCCTTCCCGCTTCCCATTCCCTGCTCCTTTGGACGAGAAGGGAGCTAGTATTTATGTAACTTTAATCAGGCCGGGTGCAGTGGCTCACGCCTCTAATTCCCAGCACTTTGGGAGGCGGAGGTGGGGGCAGGATCACTTGAATCCGGCAGTTCGAGACCAGTCTGGCCAGCATGGCAAACCCCGTCTCTACTAAAAATACAAAAATTAGCTGGGCGTGGTGGTGCGCGCCACTCCCGGGGCTGAGGCACGAGAATCAGTTGAACCCAGAAGGCGGAGGTTGCAATGAGTCAAGATTGCGCCACTGCACTCCAGCCTGGGACACAGAGGGAGACCCTTTCCCTGTCTCAAATAAATAAATAAACAAACAAACAAACGTTCATCAGACACTATTTCAAGCTCCAGTTTGGAGCCTGTGTCTCGCCCAAGTCCCCAAGTCCTTACCCCACCCGTCCTTGGGCTGGCAGGTCACGCCTGAAGGTGCTCAGTAAATACCTTTTGAAATGTTTTTTGTTTGTTTTGTTTGTTTTTGTCCCCAGTTCCAGGCACTGTGTTAAAGTGCTCAACCTCCATAGCAAGGGTGGTGTTGTCTCCATTTTACAGATGAGGACACTGAGACCCAGAGGTTAATCACATGGCTGTGCTAGGAAATAGCAGATCCCTAAAGCCCCTAAAGCCCTAAAGGCAGGTCTCAGGAACTGTCCCACTCCATCCTGCTCCCTGCATGCGCCCCCTCCACATCCAGCAGGCCAGTCACGCCACACATGCCACTCCCAGCCAGGCCCCGGGTGTGGGCCTAGCCAGAGGTCTCCCCTTTCTGGTCCTCTTCAAGGAGCCCATACAGGAAGTGGTGGTGGGAGCTGTGGGCCAGAAAGGTGGCTCCGTGGGCAAGGCAACAGGTCCAGACCTGGCGGAGGGACGACCATGAGTTGGGGAGAGGCCAAGACCTCTGGGGAAGGCCCAATGTGTCCCCACAGACCCTCCCCATTGGTTGCCTCCCGTCCTCGCCTCACCCATTCCCAAGGCATCCCCTGGCCCTACTGTACCAGGTAGGTGCTGAGACCCAGGTAGGCTGCGGCCAGCAGGGCTGCAAGGCCGAAGTAGGCAGGGTGGGGCAGGCTGGGCAGGTAGCTGACCACGAAGTAGAGGTTGATGGCGCAGACTAGCACCATGATGGAGGAGGTGACGACCTTGCTCAGCCTGGGGGACACGAGAGAGGCTCAGGACTGGCTGACTGCAGCTGGACCACCTGCATCTACTTCTCGTCATCTCCCAGTGCCCACACTGGGGGTGGGGGTGGATACACAAAGGCTGCTTCTCTGGGCTGTGGGACCTGGAGCAGATAGACCACCTCCCCACCTCCTGCCTCCTGGGCCCTCCAGGCTACACACTGGAGGGATTTGGCAAGAGCTGAGTCTGAGGTGAGAGTGAGGAGCTCAGGCTCTAGAAACAGGCCTCCGCCCTGGATTCCAATCTTGGTTCCCCAACTTGCTAGCTGTGTGACCCTGGGCAAGTTCCTTAGCCTCTCTGAGCCTCTGTGGCTTCACTGGCATAATGGGGAGAATTGTAGCTTGTACCTCTGGGTAGCTGTGAGGATGAAATGCGGTGATGCAATCCAGCACTTGGGAAGGGGGGTACTCACGGGCCATTGGCAAACTCCTGCATGAGGGCGGGCATGCTGGTGAACGTGAGGATGGGCAGCACGGCGAATGGGAGCTGGGGAGAGCAGCAGGAGCCTAGGCTGAGGAATCCTGCCTCAGAATATGGCAAGGGTGGGGACAAGATGGGCGTGGCTTGTCACCCTCTGGGTGGGTATAAGCTCAACTGCCCTAACCACAGTGAGCCTACTTCCCTGTCTCCTGCCTTCTCAGGTTGTGGGCTCCCAGGCAGGAGAAAGTGTTTGGGGGCTCTGGCATCAGGTTGCTTCAGTTTGAATCCCAGCTCTGCCACTAGTAACTTAACTGAGTGCATCAGTTTTCCCATCTGTAAAATGGGATAACGAGCCTGGGCAACATACATAATGAGCTTTTCTCTCTACTTTAAAAAAAAAAAA